TATGGATAATATAGAGAGAAAGGAGTCTACGTTGTCACATGGTAATCATTTTTTGGTTTTGTCACACTAGCATATTACTAAATCAACATTAGAGAAGTATTAACATGTGGGTGGGGTGTTGATAACACTATTATATTGCACAAGAGACTACAGATGTGACAGTGCCATGACACAGGAAACCATCCAAAATGGAGAATGGCTCTTCCTGAATCTGGAGGGAGAGGGGAGATGTGAGAAGGGAGGACAGGAAAGCATTCCTGGCAGGGGAAGTTGGTGAGTGATGCTTCAGAGGAGGGAACTGCAGATTGCTGCACAGCTGGAGCCAGACAGCAGAGCTCTTCTTTACACTGGAATGAAGCACAGCTGGTATGATGATGGCAAGGAGATAAACCCATTTAGAACAGGAGTGGGATCCAGGTCCTGTGGATCCACGAGAGGTTTCAGGTTGAAGTTCTGTAAAATGGTGGTTAGGAATAAAAACAGCTCCATGCGGGCCAGGCCTTCTCCAACACAAATGCGTTTGCCTGAAATTTTTGTAAAAAAAAAAAAGTCAAAGCAAGAACTGACTCTATGTATGTAAGCGTGAAAGTATGAAACATTGTATTGTAACTGACAAAAGATAGTGTCAAAGATTACCGAATGCATGGCAGATGGATGCATGGAGGAACACAGGTAAGACAGACTATTTGTCCATACTAACACGCAATCTTAACTATTACATCATTGAACTATTTTTTTAATCTGAGAATAGCAGTGCACACCTGTAATTCTACCACAGGAAGCTACGAAAGAAGAATCTTGAGTTGATAACCCATTTGAGCTACCTTTTTTACATGCTGTTTTTAAAACAATCAAAGGCAAACTACACCAAACTAAATTATATTTAAAAGAAAAACAGATCACCATCTTCATGTTAACCTTTTATTAAGTATTTCTACATGATAAATTCTCTTTTTAAAATTTCCCTTCTCCCTTTTTCCCTTTTCTCATTCTCTGTATGCCAATTTGGAGGGTGCTGAATTATTAAGTCAGTTAGGTTCTCTGCTAAAGAGAGGAGTCATACTTCTGGAATACAACTAAGTTTCCAATCATATTTTTTCCCCATGGTTGAGATGAGGATTTAATATGGTTTGTCCTCAACCTGTAGACCTATTCCCATTCCTTCTTTCTTCATATTATCTCTACTTACCAAGAAGGCCTGTAACTATATACTTTGGGATTTCCTCCAAACTTTTGTATGTATAGAGTAATATATATGCAGGATTGGAAGACATAGACCTACCTGACACTCCAAGTGGAATTCATCACTTGGAAGTAGTGGTGAGAAGCACTGCTTTCCTGGTGAACTCAGAAGTCAAATCTTGACTCTGTCACTAAGTGACAGAGTTACTTAAACTACTGGAGCCCTAGTTTCTTCATATACTAACTGGAGATGCTAATAATTCCTTCAAGAAGTATTGGCGAGAAATTAAAATAATAATAGATTTTGATGTGTTACAATTTTAATCAAGGTTTCATTATTCTATTTATAAAAATGTTGAGTTCAGGTTTCCATGAAACACTTTGTATGTTCTAAGAAAATACATTCCTATTGCTTATGTGGCCTGTCTCCAGGAAAATATTCAATGACCACTTTTTGGGGGGTCAGTTGTGGGTCCTGAACTCTGGGCCTGGGCGCTGACCTGCAGCTCTCCCTTTCAAGGCTAGACCCCCACCACTTGAGTCACAGCGCCACTTCTGGCTTTTCCTGCTCATGTGGTACTGAGGAATAGAACCCAGGGCCTCATGCATACAAGGCAAGCACTCTCCCTCTGAGCCACCTTTCCAGCTCCTCAATGAACACTTTTTACATTTTAATACATCCCAACTTTCCATTTTCTCAGCCTATAGTACTTTCCTGTCCTCCCTTCTCACATCTCCCCATTCTCTACAGATCCAGGAAGATCCATTCTCCATTTTGGAGGGTTTCCTGTTCACTGCACTATCACATCTATAGTCCCCTGTGCTTTATAATAGTCTTATTCACCACCCCATGTGCTAATACTTACCTACTGCTAATTTACTAATATGCTAATATAGCAAAACTGTAAAATGAATAGGCATCAATACACAGAGCACTTTTCATGTCCCTTTTTGTACTCTTTGTGTCCTTTCAGGCAATGAAATGTTGCCTTAACTTTCCCAAATATCATATTCAGATTTTCATTGATGCTCAAAATCATTTGAAAGCATAATTTTCTCATTGTTTAAAATGTTTGCCTGTGTATAAAAAAAGTGAATTTTTGAAGAGAGATTGCTGCCTTTCCCCATGGTTTCTAAATGACAGATGTAGGACAGATGTCAAAGGTTACATTATTAGCTGGATACCAGTGGCTCATGCCTCCAAACCTAGCTACTCAGAAGGCTGGGATCTGAGGATTGTGAGTAGAAGTGAGCCTGTGTAAGAAAGTGGGTGAGACTCTTATCTTCAATTAACCATCAGAAAACCAGAAGTGGAGCTGTGGCTCAAACTTCTAGCTCTGAGCAAAAAAGTCAGAGATAGCACCCTGGCCCTCAGGTCAAGCTCCCACAACCAACAAAAACAAAAAAAAAATCAAAATAATTGAACAAACAAACAAAAAAGACAAAAAGTCACAGCGTCAGTGAAGGAAGGCTCCTCCCTGGCCAGACATACAGCACACATACTACAGCATGGAGATACAATATCCAAGACACATGTTTTAGATCAAAAGAAGAACAGAGTGCTCTGTTATCATTGTGGGATATCTGACACAGGTTCCTGATATGTTCATAAGATTATGTGACAGTGTCTGACACTCTTGGTTGAGAATAAATGTTCTATTGTTGTGCTTCATGACTTACTTAAAAATGCTCTGCTATGTCTTCTGTCCTGTTTGAAGTACCCAAATGTCTTAGAATGTTGCTTAGTCCATTTTCTGTTTAAAATTGGGGTACAATGAAGTGACAAATGGGTTAATTCTCCCCCCACAAATCCTATCTTCCCTGGCTCTCCTTTGGTACTCTTCTGTGCCTTTTGGGAGTCAATCATTCCTTTGAGGAGCCTGGAGGTGACAAATGCCACAAAAAGATGTGGGAGGCACCTGTGATGAAATCATCTTTCTCGTTGTGAGTGTAGCCACTATTTAGGAAAAGATCATTATGATATATGTAAAGAAAGTTTGCTAGTTTTGCTTGCTTTACTTGTTGAACTTGAAAGAAATGCACAGAGAAACTGAAGCGTCAAACAGTGAGGATGCAACATGAACAAGGAAAGTGCATGGGCATTGAGAGTGCTGCTCCTAATCATGAGTTTAGGGTAAATACACTAGCCCCAAGGAGGCTTTATATAGGTTCCAACTGACATCCTTCCCCACAAAGGTATCTTGAGATATGGAATGAAATTTTATTACCTGTTGAGAATGGCATGAAGTAATCACTTTTCTTAAAGTTTCCACTTTTATCCAGAAAGTGGCCAGGGTCAAATTTGTCTGGATTGGGGAATTCCTTGGGGTCGTGCAGCACAGATGTCAATGATGTCAATATGTTTGTGCCCTGGAAACAACATACACCAAAACCTAAGCTAAGTTATATATATATATATAGATGCAGCTCATACCTATAATCCTAACTACACTAGAGGCTGAGATTGAAGGATTGTAGTTCAAAGTTATCACGTGCAGGAAAGCCCATGAGACTGTTATCTCCAATTAACCACCAGAAAACTGGAAGTGGTGCTTTGGCTAGAAGTGTTAGAGCACTAGATTTGAGCGAAAGAAGGTCAAGGACAGCATCCAGGCCCTGAGTTTAAGTTCCATGAACAACAAATACAAAATAGTTATAGAGTGACATATACAATGAAAATCACTTAGTTCAATCTTCTGGCCTAAAGGTGATGAAGAATTTCAATCAAGGAAATGGCTTCAGATCTGATGAATAGCAACACAGAAAACATAAAAAGCGGCATGTATGTCTTACATTTAACAATTCTATAGCAATAGATGCAAAGGGTATTGAAGAAGATGAAGACCCCAAGATCTCAAAAACAAAACTATAAGAATGACCGCTAAAATTAATAAAGACATATATAAAAATATGAGTATATTCAAAGACAATACAAATAAACAGCTGAATAAATAAGACAAACAATGCAATATATCAACAAGGACTTCAACAAAGATATAAAAATCTTTAAAAATTAATATAAGGTTTTGGAAATGAAAAACTAAATAAATCAAGTAAAAAACTCAATGACGAAGAGTAGATCAAATTGAAAACAGAATATCAGGGCTCAAGGACAAAGTAGATATATTAGAATAGTCAGATGAAGAACTAGGTGAAAAGTAAAGAAGAATGAAGAAAGCATACAAAGCCATCTGGGAAACTTGAAAGATTAAACATATAAAATAGGCTAGAGAAAGAAGAAGAGGCCCATGCTAAAGGAATAAGAAAATATTCAGTAAAATAATTGGAGAATATTTCCTAAATCTTTAGCAATCCAGATACAGGAGGACTTTAGGACAGCTAACAGATCATATCAGAAAAGAATCTCTAAAGAAATACAATGAGGGCTGGGAAGTTGGCTCAGTGGTAGAGTGCTTGCCTTGCATGCCTGAGGCCTTGGGTTTGATTCCTCAGCACCACATAAGCAAAAAGAAAAAAGCCAGAAGTGGTGCTGTGGCTCAAGTGGTAGAGCACTAGCCTTGAGCTGAAGAGCTGAGGGACAGCGCTCAGGCCCAGAGTTCAGGCCCCACGACCGGACCCAGAAAAAAAAAAACTAAAAAAAGAAACACAATGAGTTTTCTATGGTGGCAAGCCCATCAGCATAACACCAGATTTCTCAACAGCAGCACCTTAAAAGCAAGGAGGTAATAAAGTAATGGAAAGTCTACGAATACCCATCTAGAATACAGTGACTGCATTTGCTCACCCTTCCTCCCTCCATTCCTGTGCCCTCATTTGTCCCTACTCCAATGTTTCCATTTTCTGGTATTTGTTTTGATAAAAATATGGAATGCTTCACAAATCTGAGTGTTCTCCTTATAGAAGTGCCATGCCAATCTTCTCTGTATTGTTCTCATTTTAGTATATGTGCTGCCTAAGCCAGCATAATGCTTAAAATTTTAAATATATAAAAAGAAGAATCCTAGAGATCCACACACAGTGAGACCACAGACAGATACTTTTAGGAGAGAAGCACAAAGGCTCAATATCTACGTGCATCTGATTGTAGAAAGTAATATTTATTGGAATGAACTGCATGAAATGAAAACAAGAGTTTTGGTCTTTTTGCTGTTTTTGTTTTCTTTTCTCTTGATTTTGTTTCTTTACCTGTCTTTGGTAGTGTAAGGAGGTGCACAGAAATGGAGGGACAAAGGGTGAACAAATGTAACAGTGTAGCTCAATAGACACTATGTTGAAAATAAACTGTACAACTTGTAGGTGGAGTTGGAAAGGAAAAACTGGGAGAGGGCCAGGGAAGGAGTGACATTGTCCAAGAAGAAATGTACTCTACCTGACTTGTGTAACTGTAACTTCTTTGCACATCAGTATTATAATAAAAACTTTAAAAAGAAGAATCATTACAGAGAAATGATCTCATTCAAAATATAAATGTAATTATGTTCAAAATTCATACATAAAAACATAGGGTAAACTTCCCTAAAATTATTTTAAAAAACCTCTCCCAAAATCTACTAAAGATACCAAACTTGACAGTGTAATATCAAGCTTGAATTTTTTTCTGTCAATCATAAATGAAGCAAAGATTACCACCATCACCGATTTTATTTATACCATCCTGGCTGCAGTGCAAAAATTCAGCAAATCAAATTTATAGACACAAGAATTGGAAAAGCCCGCATAAAAATATTAACCCAGATATTGTGGTAATGCACTCTAATTTCCAAATAAATCTGCAGTAAATCACTAGTAATGTCTAATAAATTTCATGAGTTTACTTATTATGATGCCATCAGAATAACTAATTATATTTCTACATATTATGTAAAAAGTATAGCAAAGGTACCATAAAATGAGTAAGACTCAAATGGGGCAGTGGTCTCTTACACTTGTAATTCTAGCTGCTTATGAAGTTGAGATCTGAGGATCGTGGTTATAAGCCAGCTAGGTAGAAAAGTCCATGAGATTCTTATCTCCAGTTAACTATCAGAAAACTGGAAATGGTGCTGTGGCTGAAAGTGGTAGAGCGCCAGCCTTGAGCAAAAAGAGTTCCAAGACACAGTCCCAGCCCAAAGCTCGAACCCCAAGACCCACTTCACCCCTAAAAAAGAATAATAACAATCAAAACACTCAGTATTTTGAAAAAGTCAATGAAAATATTTGAAAGCCACTCTATTGAAAACAAAATACTATTTGTAAAGTAAAACATAGGACAATTGGGAGCATAACTTATTCATGAATTAAAGAAGTCCAGTTTCCCCCAAATTTATCTAAAATTTTACTGTGTCATAACAAACATTGCAGTTGAGCATTTTGAGAACTTGATAAAAATATACTTGTAACATTCATTTGGAAATACAAAAGCCAATACAAAATACAAATTAAAAATAAAATGCAATACAAATACAAAATAGCCAATAGGAAGGACCACCCCAAAACAAAAGAATTTAAGGGGCAGAACAAAAATTGGAAAATTCACAGTGCAGGATACCAGGGATATTATTCCATGGATATATAACCGTCAATTTCCCATAACACAGACTCTCCTGAGCAGCCAACTGAGCGGAGACTTTCCCAGCTCTCTCATGTGGTGTGCAGAAGAGGAATCCCACAGCAACCTCAGGAACTCAGGCTCCCTATGGAGCCTCAGCTGAGAAGAAACAAACTCACCTTGGGAATGATGTAGTCTCTGAACTTAACATCACGGGTTACCGCATGGAGCAGGCTTAGGGGTAGGAGATCAATATATCTCTGGATCTCATGCAGCACAGCATCTGTGTAGGGCATTTGGCTCCTGTCCTGCATGCAGGGGCTGCGGTGCCTGCCAATCACTCGGTCAATCTCTTCTTTCACTTTAGCTGGTGAGACATAATAAGAAATGGCGGAACAGGAGGAAAGTAACACATTGATCATAGTCAGTGCTTCATAAATTGTGATAATGTGTCTGAACAAGATTTGATGTAAAAAATACATGCCCCATGGAATATTAATACTTCAGTATATGCTCACATAAGTCTTCTACTAAGTAGCCTTATAATGTATTAATATATCCATAAAGTTTAGCTTCTTGTTAAAAAACCCACAAAACCAAAAAGACTATTAATGTACATGTAATATACTTTATATATTGAAGTAAAATACCTTTATTTGACATAGAAGAAGTATGTTACTATAGGTATTACATACTTATAATAAGACATTACAAAATAAAAGAAATAAAATATTAATAATAAAAGTATATTTTTGAGGGCATTATTATCTTCACTTATATCTCTAGATTTCACTAATCTCCACAAATATGAATGATAATTCATGGACTACACAATAAAATAAATGGCTCTAAGACAATAGTATGACTTTTAAGATATTAATAAAATATTCCCATTTTGTTCTAGTTCAGAAATATTTTTGCTATATATATAGCAAAATATAATATATTTAAACCAAATTTTAACATAAAATAGGATAAGAGATGATTTTACCATAACATTATTTTCAATTTCTATTAATTTATAGAACAAATGACATGTCTTAAAAAGAGAATTTAGCTACCATAATTGATATGAGTATAGTAAGAGCATATTTTAAAAATAGACAACATAAGTAAAAATATTAATGAAGTACATTTTAAGGAGAGACATTGATCAAGATGCATTGTAACTCAGGAATTGAGTATTAACTTGAAACCCCTTGTACAACAACTTAATAATAATAGAAAAAAATATTGTATGCAGATATGGAAGTATCAGTATTAAATATACAATTAAGGTACAATAATAAAATGCAGAGGAAGAAATGATTGTTCTCAAAGAAAAATAGGAAAGAAGTATTATTTTTTATTTTTTAACATACAAATAGTGTGTGTGTTCGTGTATGCATATGAGCAATGTGCAGTAATACTTCTAATGATAGCCATATTGGGCATCCTAGGATCTGCTTCGGAAAATTATCTTCAGGTTTCTAAATAATGATGCTTTCTTTTTCTTTTCTTTTTCTTGTTTTGGGGCTTGAACTAAGAGCCTCAGCTCTATCCTTGAGCCTCTACCACTTGAGCCACAGTATCACTTCTGGCTTTTTCTGAGTAGTTTTTGGAGATAAGAGTATCACGAACTTTCCTGTCTGGGCTGGCTGCAAACCACAATCCTCAGATCTCAGCCTCCTGAGTAGGTAGGATTACAGGCAGGAGTCACTGGTGCCCATTTGGGCTTTTTTTAAATCACTTTTAGAGAGTATTTATTGATTTCCTAATATGTGAAATAAAAATTTACATTTACATCTCAATCTCATATATTTAGCCACATTTATAAATAGATACATGGTGCTACATACCCACATTTCTCCTCACTTCATTAACAATGATATACTAGATATAGTATTTGAGGTTTTAAACCAGTATTAATCATTCTGGCTACAGAAATATTGTTCCCTGGGTGGAAACTAAGATTGTTTTCCATTTATTGTCCTTCTCTTGTCTTCCATATCAGTTCATGATTTTTCCATTTCCTGAGTTAGAATTATTTGCAAGTACACGAAGAGGTGTTTGAAATGTCTAGCAATACATAGTCAGTAAATGGTCATGTCTCTCATTCCCAGTGTCTCCGCTCCCTCCTTGCATCGTTGGTTTCTGGTTTGTTCTCATGTGGGTGTTTCCTAAGGCGAGCTTCTAGCAGCCTCAGTGACAGTCTCAGAACACCCCATGACCTTTCTGTCCCAGCTTCTAGAGTCCATGATTTTCTTTGTCTTGGCTTTAGATAACTGAATGAAATACGTTATATGGTATTTTGAGAAAATGGGGTATGAAGTTTATGGCTGATAGGGAAGTCTAACTCTCCCACACTTTCTCATCAATGCATAGGTTGTTGTTACTCTTAAGATTTCTGATACAATCTTCACCTTCTCTTTACATGTGACCTAGTTGTGTCTTTCTGAAAGTTGTGATGATCTTTCTAATCCTGGTATTCTGGAATGCTACAACTTATGCGGAGTGGATGCTTCTATTCCCTTTGTTCTGCTCGACACTTGGAGATAATTTTCTATCAAATTGGTAAAAATGGAGGTTCTTAAAGTTCTTCATTCTGGAGGATATACTTTGCTGATCAATTTCAGGAATCAAGAGAAATAGAAACTTATGCATCATAAACAACAAGAGGGCTTTACTGGGCCACTCATCTTTACATTTCACTGATTTTACCCAAAATTTCTGAGTACAGAGTTTTGCAGGTTCAAATTTCTCTAGAGAGACAACCTTTCTTTACACCTGATGAGTGGAAGGTGTGGTGAGAATTTGAGCATGGAGAGTCTGTTTGTTAAATTCTTTTTCTATCTTCTTTGACACTTTTCTTTCCTTCCTTCCTTCCTTCCTTCCTTCCTTCCTTCCTTCCTTCCTTCCTTCCTTCCTTCCTTCCTTCCTTCCTGCATTTCTTCTGTCATGGGACGTGAATTCTGGGCCTGGGCACTGTCCCTGAGCTCTTCTGCTCAAGGCAAGTGATCTGCCATTTGAGCCATAGTGTCCCATCTGGTTTTCTTGTGCTTAATTGGAGAGAAGAGTCTCATGGACTTTCCTATCAGGGCTGGCTTTTGAACCTAAATCCTCAGGTCTTAGCCTTCTGAGTAGCCAGGATTACAGATGTGAGCCCCTGGTGTCCAGTGACACCTGCTATTTCTAAACTTAATGGGAATTTTAGAGTTGTAGCTTGGTTTTGCTTTTATCTGAATTTTTCTTGCTATAACATTCATGTGAAAGCATCATGTGTCTGGCTCAGTTATTTCATCACAATTACATATACTCTGAAGGTCAGATTTTTGGTAAAGACTTCTTCTGTTTACTATTTTCCTACTTTTTTCCCCTCAGAGGACTAATCCTTATTTGAAACTATTTTATCATTATTTCCTAAATCTTAACACAGTGTTTCCCAAGTAAAAATCTTT